TGGTTCTCGGGCAAGGTAGTGTCGAGGACCTTTGTATTTGCTTGGCCAGCGTGACCTATCTTCTGTGAGAAGGAATTTTCGTGGGTGAGCCGTGGTTCAATGGCCATTGTCGAAATGAAGTATTATTGCATTACGGCTTCTGATTTTCAGGCCCAGGCATATTCCACAATAACGAGCATTGAAACGACCAAGTCTGGGTGGGTTGGATGACGCCGATCCTGATATGGGGACCTTTAGTCTCTCCTGGTCACGGCAGCATAATAGCCGTACCGCAGGGGACATGGCCTGTCTTTTGGCTGCGTCTTGCCAGAGCAACCTATACTCTTCAATGCGACTTGGGACAAAGAAGACAGCTGTTCATGGATGAATCCTCAGCCAGGGGAGCGAGAATCTCAATCCATCGTCGGTAAACACACTCTGGTAGTTCCGACACGTTCCATTGTCGCCAATGGCAGCAACAACTGCGAGTTGGATTTTGTGTGGAACACTGTTTCTGCCCTGCACTTCAGCTGGGCTTGTTGGCACCACTATCGTATTTTCTCGATTTCTCGCTCCCAACGGGTGTCCGGCTAAGCATACCTAGGTAGGCATAAAAAACTCCGCCAATGTGACGTCTAGACGCAACCCTGGATTCAAAGCAAGCTCACTACGGAGTATTTGTACACCAAACGCCTTGAAGTGGGAACCTCCATCGAATTCACCTCCATCGCCGCGACCGAGCAAAAGCCTCGATCTGCTTGCGTCGGGGACGCCTCCTGGCCTACACTCTCCCCCCTCCACCCTCTTTCTTGCCTCTGTTTGTTGCTCCTTGGCCCTTGCGTGGCACCTACCAGCCCCGGTTTAGCGTATCGCCAGCCTGAGTTGCCCCCGGGAACGGGAGGCCTTTCGGCGAAGCCTGCTAGCCCTTGAAATTGGGCTTGCTCTGGTTTGCAGCAGTACTAGTCGCCAGCGCCGCATCGCGCAGTGGGACAAGGTTTTAGCTCTGGAGCCTGACTGGTTCATGGAACTTTTTTCTGATTGAAGCCCAGCCCTCACCAGCGAAGGACAGGGAATGCTCGGAGATGGGGGGGACCTAGCCTTGTCTTGCGACGCCCCGGTCCAGTTGTTTTGGAGTCTCAATGAAGCTCAAGTCGACAATAGTCGTCTCGGCAAGTAGACATTGTAATGTGAAATATGCGGTCTGTTGTCCTGAGTCAAGCGGTTGCAATGGATTTGATAGAGTGGGCGATGTGAGAAACGGACTTGTTGCAATGTTGCGCAGAGCGGTTGAGCGGCTCCGTCTGAGTCGTGCCCTGGCCACGCCCTGTGGTAGCACATTCCCAGCCGGTCTCACGCACCCTATGCGGCCGGAAGCGATTCCCTGCGGACAGTCGCAGATCTGTGGCGCGTCCTGGTGCTGAGGTTTGAGGGTTGTATGGGTGATGTTGGTTGGCCGTTGGCTGGCTCGTACCCAGCAAACTTGTTGGGTCGTGGATGTCCTATCGAGGCTTCGACTGGCTGGTTTTCCGCCAGTCGCTCTTTCTGGAACAAAGCCGCGCCTTCCAAAAGTACTGCACATCACGACCAGCTGTTTGGGGTTGAGTCTGGTTGCACTTCTTATGCTACATCTGGCCTTGGCCATCAGCTAGTAACTATTTCCCTCCACATCCCTTCCACCCTTTCGCCTTCTGCCTTGAGACGCCAACCGGTTGAGCCGGTCCATTCTGGGATCACGACCTTCAAGTCCTGCAGCTTTCCTAGGTTCATAGGTATGTAGGGCGTGGGCATCTCCAAGAGCAAAATCTAAGATTAGCCCTAGTTATTTTGTCCTGGCCTCTTTGCTGGTCCCAGACAACTCTCAACTCCGTACAATCCGTATCTCGAATTTTCAAGAATACATCTCGCTTTGATTCACAACGTGGCAGTCTCCATCGCAACTACTGGGATTACTGTACCCGCCGTCCATAACCTAATATCCGCGCTAGCCTGCGAAATCCGCAGTATCCTGCTTGTGGTCAGACCTGACTTGCTGACGTACGCCCCGCCCGTTGTCTTCTCTGGCGCCGTTGAGGCTCAAGGCCGCTCATCTTCCTGGCTTTGTGCTCAACTCGAAATCATCGGTGCGTCGTCATTGTCTGTTATAGTAATCTTCACGGACAATCATTGTCCGTAACGGTTATATTCGAGTACTCTCAGACATTCCCGACCGTGTCCTGTCGCGTTATGTGCTTTTACCACCCTGGCATTAAGCATTGTACAAAGTACGTCTCTGCCATCTACAAAGGCCAAAAGCTTTCCTGCATAAGTCGCAGAGCGCAGAGTTGTATCCTCTCTCTCACACCCCTCCCCCCCGGTAACTCTCACTTGAGCTACGGAGTCCTTCACTGTCCATCTACCGTCACGCCGATACCTGGGCTAGGTAGCCAGCCAGCCAGCAAGTCCGTAGAACCTCTCGCCCTCAGAGGTTGGAGTCCTACATGCCCTTTTCTCCATTCCCACCTCTCGTCAACATACAGCTTCAATACGACTCTGCAAGCTATCCACCGCCGGCATTCCTCTTATTGATACATCGGTATTTTTGGGTCCTTGCTCCATCGCGGTTCCCACCCGAAAACCCAAAACTCTACCTGTTCCGTCCACATCGACACTAACAAAAGAGCCGCCGCATTGCAACCACATCCTGGACACTCGTCAAACCCCCCACGCTGTGCCCTCGAGACCTGGTTTTCTCTCTAGTGCCTCCCGCCCTTTGACCCCATCATGTTTTGGAGCGGGTCGCTATGATCAAACTTCATCCTCGCTCCATTTACGGCGACTCCTGTTAGCAGAAGGGTGACGCAGTGTTGCACACGCCCTGACACTAGCAGCGTCATCTTGGACCGCCCCGTACCAGACGTTGCCGTTCCGTCTTGACCGACCCCGGTACATATAAGCCGGTCCTCTCCCATGGAACCCACCGAGGTGTCGGTCCGTGACGATGGAAAACCTACTGCGCCGCTTACGCCGCCTCTCCGGCGGCGTTATTCCATGGAGGAGGATCTGTATTACAACCGCGTAATGGCCGCTCCACCACGACGACTCTCCCAACCGCCGGCCTACGAGCCCAATCCCATTGACTCAGATGAGGACGAGGATCCAGGGCCGGGCCGGAGGAAAGGGAGCCAAGCGGTATTCGATCAGTTCAACGAGACCGAAGAAGGACGCGAGTCACTTCCGAACTACCAAAGTTCATTGTATATCGAAGGAGTCTTCTCCAAGAAGCATGAGATTGAAAACACCACAAAACGAGCCGAGGATCGTCACTGGCACACCACCTTTGTCACCCTAAACGGAACTGCCCTAAATGTGTATACCGTAAAGAAGGACTGGGGATGGGGTCGGAGCCGAGATGGTCCTACTATATGCCCCGACAACCCTCCGTGGGTGAGAAAGTCAAAGCTTGAGAAGAGCTATAGCCTCATACACGCTGATGCTGGCATCGCAGCTGACTATACAAAGTGAGTTAGTCCTCTCACCTCCTACCGTGAAGACGATCGAGCACTAACATTTGACAAAAGACGTCGATATGTTATCCGTATCAGGGCAGAGACTGACCAGTTTCTTCTGTCATGTATCGAGTTGGCCACGTTTGTAAAATGGCTTGAGGCCCTATTCGCGGCCATCGACGTCGCCGCCCCTATTGATGACCGGGACTTTCCCCGTGACATGTCGATTCCTCGTATTCAACGGATTCGATGGTATCAGGGCCAATCACCGGCGCTCCCCGGTTATGCAGTCTCTACCGAGCAATCCAGGAACAATGAGACATCTGTGGAAGGCCCGGAACCGTCTAGCACGACGACACAAACGGATTCCAATGCTAGCTCGTCGTCTACAATCCAATCACCACCAACTCTGCAACCGCTGCAGGAAGCATCTGCCAACCCACCTCCGAGGATCGAACCTCTCAGCCGTCGCATCAGCACCTCTTCTTATCCCAACCCATCAATCGATCCACACACGGGAAAGTGGTTTCCTGAACATAAGTGGTCGAGCGCCCACGATCTGTTGTACGCTAAACTATGCTATAGCAACTTGTTATTCAGAAGTCCTCGGAAATCCAATTACATTATTAGCAAGGGTAAACAGTGGTTTGTGGATTGGCGTACCGGTAAGATGGTCCGTGTATTACCTCCGACATATGGCGAGATCGATTTTTTCGGACCCTGGCAGGTTATTCATACCGAAAACCCCAGAATTTAAAGGCCAGGGTTTTGTCAGCACGGCTGGTTTTGATTTCTGGCCGGTGCTACATCTGTCAACCACTTGGAAAGAGAGGACTCTACATGCATGTCAATTTTGAACGGGATGATTCATGCTGTTGAAAAGTCGACGTTAGGCTTTTGTAGCAATGGGATGAGAGAGGTTTGTCAATGGACTCGGGTCGGAGCAATCTGGCGTTCTTGGCGAATGCATGCCAAGCCCAGCCATCTGGCCCTTCAGCCTTGCCATGATTTGTCCCACATGCGCAGTTCTCCTTTTTACGCCATCATGGTCTCATTCTTAGTTCCCCCTTCCGAAAGGGATTGGAGGAAATTTCTTGTCAAGTCATGGCAGGTCCCATTTGAATGAGGATGCATCGCTACAAAGACAGGCGATTTATCTGGTGCATTTGCGGAGCAATCGAAGAGCATTATCATATATACAAAGGGGGTTTGGTACTACTTCATTGGGCGGAGTTTTTCGGTACATGTTCATCTTGTTGATTTTGGGTATATTCCAAATGACTGTATATGCTACTATCTGGGTATCGGGACTTGGCGTTTGCGATGTTTTATTGTACATGACAAGCATTTGATAGAGTCAAAAAGTTGTTGTTTCTAGAAATGTCTCTTGGTCCCTCCCGTAAAAGTCGTAGCGTGTATTGTATTCCTGGGTATCTATAAAGTCAGTGAACTCCAAGCGCCCAACAAAGCCCTCCTCGGTGTCCCAAAGCGTCCTGTGTCCAATGCAATCGTGTCACGATGCGTGTATGCACGAGTTCATGAAACAGAGGCGTCGCCCATCTCGGCATCGATTCCCCTCGCCTCCCCAGCCAGCTCGCCCACAACACCGCCCAGCACGCCATTCGCAGACCGCACATCCTCCACCGCGGCATCCAGGCTCCCCAGCAAGGCGTCGATCTCCTCCCTCTGCGCCTTCACATGGTCCGCCAGCAGCCCATTCTGCGCCTGTGTCGTCTGCAGCCTCGCATTGAGCAAGCCCCTCTGCTCCGCGAGACGGGGACCTAGATGCGCCCGCAGCACCTCTTCAGGGGATAGCAAGTGCGCCCTGTATTCGGTTTCCCTCGTTAGCAAAGGGCAAAGGGCAAAAAAAAAAGCTTTATTCACAGTGGAAACGAGTAAAAGAAAGAGGAAGAAGAAGAAAACGTACGGCGTGGGGAGGTCCGTCTCGCGGTGCAGTTTCCTCCGCTCCTCCGCGTCGGCAATCAGCCCCTCGAGGTCGTTCATCTTGCGCACCACGTCCCTCGCCCTGAGAATGGCGCCAAACTCCTTCTCGCACTTGTCCCGCAGCCGCTCGACCATCTGGGCCTGCACCTGGCGCAGCACGGGGGACGCGCGCCGCGCAATCGTCGGGTAGCAGGGCGCTACGTTGTCGTACGAGAGCTTGTCGAGCGTGCGGGCCAGCGACGCGGCGTATATCTCTTGCAGGCGGAGGGCGCGGGGGCCCGGCTTGGTCGCTTCCACTTCTTCCTCTTCTTCTTCTTCTTCTTCTTCCGGCGGCCGGGCAGTCTTCTCCGGCTCCGGCTCGGCGGCCACGTCTTCTGTTGGAATTGGAGTTTCGGGCATGGTCAGACGTGCATGGCGAGGCCGGTTCCAACGGCAGAGGTTGGAACGCGAACGCGGTTGCCCTCTCTCCCCGCACACACACGTGACGGGCGGCGCCGGGGAGTCGGTCATCTTGCCGCAGGGTATTAGCGGGGCAAGGGGTTAGGCTGTTGCCCGTTTTGAGAAGGGGCGCGGTACCAGAATAGAAGTATACATGATGGGCTGGGGTGGCTTGCACACGGGACCGGGGAAGGGCAGGCGTACTTTTTTTCCTTTTTTAAAAAAAGCTTTTTTTTTGAACCTTTTTATCGTGCAGATTCGCAGGAATTTTTATCGTGACGTAATCGCTTATCGCAGGGTGATTGGATGTACATGTTCGCCTGGGGCCTTGGTGAACCACATTATGAAGCGTCAGGTTGGTGACACAGCTCTTTCCAATTCAGAAGCTGTACGTGGTATTTTAGACGATATTACTTAAAGGATACGTGTGTGCTTCAGCTTGTGAGACTTGTTGGTAGTGTAGGCAGGATATTACTTCATTCCGGCATTGGAGCTTCGTAAGGCTTCCATCATAGCCTTCAACCTCGGAAGCAACGTAGTAAATGTGTTAGCTTAGCCTCATACTGATAGCGGATGGACCGTATTTAAATCTATAACCTATGGTCATTCATGCTGTAAATGGACAAAAGAAATATTTATACGACGACGGCGCGTCGAAAGGGTGTTCCTCCGTCCCTGGTATATCCACCATAAGACATGTCCTCCGGTCTATTGGGGTATTTTCAAAAATTCCCATTGCGTCTCAACAATCGGTGCACCAAATCAAGACTCCAACGCCAAGGTCGTTGCCACCGTAGGGCAAAAGGAAAGTGTGTGTACCTGTCGCTCTAACTTGCAGACAAAATCACGGCTGCATCTGCTGCCGAAGTATTGTCATTTCTTCCCCCGTCTCTCTTCAATCTCTCACGTTCCCTCTTCCGCTTCTCTGATTCCTTCTTTTTCTGCTGTGCCAAGTATGTCGTATATCGGATCATCCCCAGAGTGAGGATGGCCAAGAATACAAGGCCAACAACAGAACGTCGAATCAATACCCATCTTACGCCTTCAATTTCAGACTTGCTATCGCTGCTGAGCAGAATACTCATCTTGTAATTGACTTTTTGGATCTGATTAGAGGTTATTAACAATGATCAAAAGTAGGTCTTCCACTGACAAACTCACAGCACTCTCGACGGATTTCTGTTCCTCTCGAACAGCCATGTTTCTGTCATTGAACAGCCCACGGACGGCGTCATTAAGAGTCAGCAGCTCCTGGTTAAGCGATTGCGTGAGAATATCGACTTCGTGCTGCAAATGCGTCCGCTGTTGTCTCATTTCTTCTTCTTGCAATCGGCGATTGTTCTTGATTTCCGTGCTCAGCTCTGAGCAGGCAGCTTGGAAGAGATATGTCTCCTGTCAGCCTTGTCAGTCACATTACGCTGCACGCGTTTTGCTTTGGACACGTACATTTTCAACATCGCTCTTGCTGACCAGACTCTTCTGCGCTACATCCAAGTTCTGAGCAAGAATTTTCCGGATCGCCTTCATGGAAGTGACAGCTTGCTCTCGTGAGTAACCGCCCTCCTCCAGCTGCTTCACCAGAGAGTAGCTATCAAAGTGGTGTACATATGGTGGTGGCGCCATGTGCGGGTGTTCAGCCCTGTCGGGAGACGGCATGTGTAGAACAGCCTCGAGCGAAGGAACAGCAGGAGAATCGACGTTGGAGGGTGCTTGACTCGGTTCCTCTGCCGCGTTGCTAGAGTCAGCTACCATGGTAGTAGCGGCTGAGTCCCCCGGTTTACTGGTAGAGGAGTCTGCAGAGCTGACTGACGCCGTCGCAGCTTGCGCTGGAGAAGACTGTTCGAGTTCTGGGCTTGCCCTCTTGTCCGCAGCGGCGCGTGGTTGTGCGCGTGGCTGCTTGGTATCTGTTGTTTTTGCCGCCTCGGTGGCTTTTGTCTCCTCCTGTGCCGGAGCTCGATCTCCATCCTTTTTTAATTCGGTTGACTGCAAAGACTGCGCCTCTGCCTCTTGGGCTTTGTTCCAAGTCGGCTCAACAGCCTTTCCATGCCTAGGGGCAAACGAACTCTTGGATCTCGTCGTAGCCACCCATCTTGTTGCCACAGTGCTGGGAGTGGCGGATGTTCGCGCCGCCCGCAGCAAATACGGATATAAAAAGTTCAGTCTAAAAGTAGCCATCGTTCGTAATCGAGGTCGACGGAACGCAAGCTCGGGTGAGGTATCCCGATACCATGTAATAGGAGAGAAGGGCTCCCGGGGGCTCCGGGGCGTGATTCGTGTGACGGCACTATAGAAAAGGCAGCTTCATTGGGGTTGACGAGGTGATAATATCGACGAAAAATGGAAGAGTAAATCTTCGAAGGCAAATTTATTGAGAATGGGGGATTGTAAGAGAAACAGGCAGGCGCGAAGCAGAATCAATTATGCGAGGGATGTGGTGGAACCTGGGAACTTCAAATTACGTACTGATTCCAGGGTAGCGTCGGAAAACAGAGCGATGTCGCTGTCGGCGGGGGACTCCACTCGACCGGCCGAGGGGCTCAAGTGCCTCCCACGCCGCCCAAAAAAAAAAGACCCATCATTCATGCTTGTGACAATATCAATTCTGCGTGCCTCATTTCTATCCACTCACGCCGACTCAACTCTTCACTAGAATTTCCCAATATTTGGCTCCCTTCGAATCCACGTATAAGAGAATTAAGCGCAGCAAATGGGTCTCAGCTTACACGCAGTCATTATGACATACTGGCACTAAGGTCACTACAGACCCTCAGACAACACGTCACTTTAAATCTCGTCATTTCTGTACAACGCTTATGGACAATGGACAATTCCAACATCAGAGGGAATAAAAACCCTCATAAACAGTTCTCGCTAGAATACAGTCCCGAACCAGAGTCCAGTTCAACCCATCCAAATGTCACCGAGATGTTCCAACCATAACCCCTGTAACCGTTTCATCCAAGCGGTTTCATTCGTTTCATCGGGATGCAAAAACCCTCCAAATGAGTGAAAGTGCCAGCTTGCGAAAGCTAGTGATCCAACATTGCAGAACCCCACAGCCCGAGTCCCCAGAAGAACTAATAAGCGCAAAAAGCGTCACGATCCCAATACTGAACAGTAAGAAAAACTAAAAACAACCGATAATTTCCTTGAATATTTTGTGCTTTGTCGCCAATAATGTTCCGAGAAAGAAATAGGCATGTAGTACGCCACTGTAGGCCGCCATGATATGGCCTTCTTGGCGTTTGAACAAAGTTCCAACGACAAGAAGTGGTGCAAAACGTGAATATTTTTTTTTTAAAGAAAACCCCCTTTCCCCCGAGAACGATCAACTCCGTCAAGGAGATGCAGTTCTCTTGCAAATGCCAAATATTAGTAAGTTGTATCGAGTATGCGTATATGCATTTGTAAACGTTGCTGCTGTAAGGATGGACATTATCTATGCGAGACGGCGCGATGTAGATGTGCTTCTGCGCCGCCGTTTGTCTGCGAATTTGATGCCATAGGACTTTGTTTTATTGTCGTTAATACAAAATAGTGGAAAGGAACGAAGATGCAGTCGGGAACCGCGTCATAATGCCACTTCGTCATCCCCGTACACAGATTGATCCGCAACGTGTCAGCTAGGCTTCTTCCTCTCGCACCTGAGGAGTGACCATGTTAGACAGCTTGTCAGATGTCTTGTTTCCACTCTCTTCAGAAGGAATGCTAATAGCGCTCGCATGAGCACTGCGTGGGCTGCTGCTCTGAGGGCTGCTAGTTTCGTTGGTGAGAGCCGGCGTGTCCGCAGCGGAGTTCAGGTCTGTCTGAGCGGATGCAGCGTCACTCTTCGAAGGCGAGCCGCCAGATCCTAGGCCAAGAAGTTTCTCTAGAGCCTGAAGCTGCCGGGACGTTCCATTCTTCTTCAGGGCGAAAAACTGAGGCTTGATCTCTTCCACCAACATGTGCCTCTCCCTGCCCTCAAGTTGACCAAGGAGTTTTTCTGACACATCAAGTTAACTTTGGGCAAACACTGCTTTCACGAGTTGGTGTCACTTACGAATAACATAATTGCCATATTGGTCTCGCATCATCTGCTGAAGTGGGCTGGTCCCATCGCTACCCACGGTGGTAAGCTGTTCTCGAATACTGGTTCGCTGCTCAGCTGTGCCATGTTCGATGCACTTCTCGACGACATTGGACGCAAACTTGTGTTTGGAAAGAGTGAGCAGCTGAGCCATAACAAGGTCAATCATCCTGGCTCGATCTTCGGGCTTGCCGTTTTGAATGACATGCTGTGCCACATAATTGCCATATTGATCCGTGATGAGTATCTGGGCAGACGCGTGCAACTCCGTCATAATCTCCATCTTGTCGCTCTCTGTCCCATGCTCTAGCATGCGCTGAATGACGCGGCAGCCGTAGGTATGAGATGCGAGGGCGGTGACTTGGCCCCTAACTGCGTTCATGATGAAATCGATGCACTGTCTTGGGACCAGTTCAATGATCTTCTGGACCACATGATTGCCATTTTGGTCGCGAATGACACGCAAAATATCTGGCTCAAGCTCCTTCGTCAATTCGGCTTGTTGCTCAACTAACACATGTTCGAGAGCCTGTTCAAGATAGTCAGCAAGAATCGTGTCTGAAGCAAGAAGATGGTCGTACCTTTTGAACGACACGGCAAGCATAGACCTGCATCGAAAGGTCAACCACCTTACCCTTCATCTTCTCAGCCAATACTTTCTTCTGTACTTGGTTGCCGTGTTCAAAAAACTTTTGAACAACGTAGTTACCAAAGACATCCTTCATCAACTGAATAGCGTTTGGCTCAATCTCTCGGAATACTTGATCTTTTTCATCGCTGTTGGCTGACTCCAACTTCTGCTGGATAAATCTCGAACCATGCTGATCGCCACTGAACTCAACAACGTGGTTATATATATCTTTCAGTTCGTATCGCTTGTTCGACTTGTTGCTGAGACGAAATTCATCCAAGAGCACACTGCGAACACCTTTGCCAGGATCCTGATCTCTCGAGGGTCGGACGGGAGGCAGATTGGCGGCGAGGGAATATGCTGAAGGGACGGGATGAATGCCGTAGCCAGACATCATGGCGTTGCGGAAGTTTTGCGTATATGGGTCAATATAGCTGGGTGCGTATTGGGGAGGCAAGTTGGCAAATGTGTATTGGCCAGGATAAAACGAGGGTGCGAACCCGCCGTTGAAATGTTGCGCGGGAACACTTCGTCTCTCTGTTTCGTTGGATCGGTGGTCCCGGGATGATGGCCTGGCTGGGAAGGCATCGGGATTTACAGTATAGTTGCGAGGGCTGTTGCCACTCTCCAAGCGGAAAGCCGGGGAGCCAGAAATCCTGTCAATAGACCCCCTCTTAATGTACTGTGCAGCCATGGTGTCCGTATCCATACCACTGTCATATCGAGAGCTGGAAGATTCAGTCATCCAGGACTGTGATCCAGGGTTGAACTGAAATGGTTGCGATGTCGGGTTGAAAGTGTTTGAACTACTACTAGCATTGTCCAAAGCCAGCCGACGTCCAGTTTGGTAGGCCAGCTCGTCATCGAGTTGCTTGTTCAGGTTGAAGGCCCTTTGGTTTGCGCTCTGGCTTGAATAAGATGGTGCGTGGTTACCAATGGCCCGTTGCGAGTGGATGGAATTGCTTGGCGTATGACCACGGTATACGTCGTGTTGGAAGGCAGGCGAGCCTTGAGATTGCCGTGAAGGAGGGATGCCGGCTTCACGAGAGACTGACTGAACCCCCGGAAACTGGGCAAGCGCTTCCATGTATAAGGCATCCATACCGGGCAGTTTCTGTGATGTAAAGGCAGAGGTAGAGGAATATGCGGCAGCATCGCCAGGGAGGGTGTGACCACCGCCAAAGCTGCCCTTCTTCACACCGATCGCGGTTGGAGGATGGTCAAAGTAAGCGGCGCCGTTCGAGATGGCAGCATCGCGGGTTCTGTTCGGAGAGGTGCTAACTGATCGAGCAGGGTGTTCTGTCTTCCAAGGGCCTGATGCTCCCCAAACATCAGCCTCCGAGTTAGCAGCAAGGGCGCTGGAACCGGAAGGACTACCTTCGGTTTCTAGGAAAGAGAAAAATTGGGTAAGTACTCATGAGTCTCGGCGCGTCAGGGTAGGCGAAAACATACCTTTGCTGCCGATGGAGCGCTCTCTGGCGTTGGATAGGGAAGCAGTCCAAATGTTGGAGTTGGGATACAGATTGGAGCCTGGGAAACCAGACCCCATTGACTGCTGATGTTGAGATTTATCGTTGGAACCCGGCGGCATCTTGAAAGAATAAAATCCGGCCCTCGACCGCGCCTAAGGGGACGAAAGTCAGTGATGGTTATAAACAATTTATGATGATGAGAAGGCGAAGCGGGCGCAGAACTGAACACAGGACAAAAAAAGCCGGAGCCCGTGTCAGCGTGTCAAGAGACAGCCGTGCCACCAAAAAAACGAAACCAAAACCAAACACGAAGTGTGGGTGTTTGTGCGTGGGGAGCCTGGGCCTGGCTTCTGCTGTCTGCGTCTGGGAAGGCCAGAGGCGACGTCCCAGATGTGCTGGCCCATTTGACCCCGGGCGATCCAGGCTGCCAGGCCTCCCTTCCGCGTGCGCTAGTCTGGCGCAGCCTTGAGACACACGAGCCCCTCTGACGTCGAGGCCCATGGCGCTAGCATCACCGCGCGCATGAGCGGCAAGGGTCCAAATGTTTGGCTTGGCTGGCACTGCACTGGGCCCGATGCGGCGAAGAAAAAGGGCTGGTCGAAGGGAATAGAGATGGCGGTACAAAGTAATCGACGCAACTTACCGAAGTGGCCATATTATTATTATTTTTTCCCGGTGCAAGTGTGGTAGATCGAGGTGGTTGTGTCGACAGGACGGATTTTCGGTGGGTATCTGGGCTATATAAAGGACAGGAAAAGATATAAAACAAAATAGACTCCGCCGGACAGGCTTCTAAAGTTCGAGGATGAGCAGGGAGGCAACGGCCGCAGTCACATTAAAAAAGCCGGACCAAATACCTCTGATCCTCTGACCACAGTGTGATTCGACGCGAGTCGCTTGCTTGGTTTTGTTCTGTTTCGGGTTCACTTGTGTCAATGGGGCCGTCTATCTCAGAGTGACGGGGGTTCTTGAATCGCAGCGACAGGCCACGTCAAGAGATCTGAATTTTCCAGATGCTCTCGTGTCGAAGGAAAAAGAAAAAGAGCAACAGCCACTCCGTAGCAAAATGAGAAATGTAGCTCAGGCGGCTTCGCAGCCTCTGGGGACAGTTCTTGACGTTTATCGGCTATGATGATGGGTTTGCATCAAAACACATAAGGAACAAGAGGCACTGCGCACAAAGGCCTGTCAGCACAAGGGCTCCCGCTCACATAATATGATCACCGTTTTCTGAGTAGCAGCTTGTATCAGTGTGTCGGCTGGCTCTGACGAGGCAACAATGGGCTGGGATTATGCTCAAGTGTGGAGGAGACAAAAAACCGGGGCCAGCACGTCGCTTTGGTTGGTAAGGCTGATGCGAAGATGTGTGTGGCACCAGGCCGGGCCATAGGTCTGTCGGTGGTTGCGATCGAAATCGAAATAATACAGCCAGGTCAGGTCGCCAGAGGCGCGCCGAGGTGGGGAAGCCAAAGTCAAGGAGGTGCGGCGTAAATTTCCAGTACTTACAGATCGGGCAAAGCAACTAGCAAAAATGACGTGCTGTGCTGTGTTGGTGACGGCCTGGTGGTACTCGTACCCGGGACTGTGCGTGATCCCGCCGTCAGATTGATTGTTGGCGTTTTCTGACTCCTCCCAGGTTTTAGCGGTACCGACTGCCGAACTTTAAGATGCGTTGGTGTCAAAATCCTTCATCTGTCCGCGAAATTAAACTTTGTATCGATCAATATACTATGTGCAAGATGGACGAGCAGAATGTTTCGGTTGAGGGTTTGACTCGACGGATAGGTAAGAGTAGGCGGGCTGCAGACGACATGTACAAGATGGTGTCTCCGGCAATGGACAAATATAAACCAACCACAAGCTCCGGGCCGAAAATATACGTGGCCAGAGCTGAGCGGCAATAAGTGAAAGAGCCGACTGCAGTGCGGTGACTGTGACGAATGGACAAATATAGACAAAGCGATGTTGGTCACGGTGGAAGAGAGAAGGAGAGCAAACAAATCGTGGAGGCGCCGCGAGCAATGTAGATGTATGTTGATGATGAGCCAGGGCCACCAGAAAGGGCGGATCCAATGCAACGCGATCAAGGGGCCAGTATTTCCTTTCTCGACGAGACAAACTAGACGGGAATGCGGGAAAATAGCGCTGTCGAACGAAAATGTCCCCTTCGGTACAGGGATAATAGTTGCGAGGAATGATGGCCGAGACAGATTTTCGACCAAGGGAGGACGGCCGCGCTGGGTGGAGAGGAGTGGGCGGGTTTGGCAGGCATCGGCTGGTAGGAGAAGCCAGAGACGAAGAAAAGAGTCGAGTCTGGTGTAAAGGAATAAGGAACAAGCGGGGGCATAAATTGATCAACGCCTCTAAGCAAGATGGAGCGAGGCAGAAACGAGAAAGATGATGAGACGGAAGGCTACTAGATAACGAGACACACATGGGAGGGCCAATTGCTCAAAGGGACATCGGAGGTAGGGCGGTAGCAGGACCCTTCTTGGCTCTGCCAGGCAGCATCGAACTTGTTAGTTACTCTATAGTACCTAGGTACCTACCTAGGTACCTAGGTACCAAGGTAGTAGGCATACAGAGTACGGAGCGCTGAGAAGGTTCTCGTGTGTTGATGTTACGTCTGCTTTCCCGTCTGCTTTCCGTCACTGTGTTTCCTTGGTTGCACAGGCACAACACAACACCCAGGTGCCACGAGCGCGTTCGAGTGTACGCAGTACGGAGAGGAGGGGATTAATGGGCAGATGGCGCTGAGAATATGGACACAGCAAGAGGAGTGGCAGACGATCAAAGCGGCGGGCAATCGTTCGTAAGCCGTCTTTATTGAAGGGAGAGAGTGTGTAACGGGGTGACGGCCGAGGGTGGGAATGATATTGCACGACAACAGTTTCAGTGACATGGAGGGCAAAGGCGATGCACGACGCACAACGCACAACGCACCAGACGGTACAGAAACAAACTCAAGGACCAGTCTGGACGTTTCAATAGTCCGTACGCCCTGTAGCAAACTGTGCAAGCCGAGCACTCGGCGGTTGTGGGATCATGTGTCATCATCATCACCATCATCATCATCAAAGGTCTACATACCTACCTAAGCCAGGGACCGTTGGTCTGATGAGGGCAATCCGAGGGGTCTCGTACCTGGTAGTTATATTCTACTTATCCCCCCCTTTTTGACGCATTCTAGCATCGCTGCGCTTATCAAACAGACAAGGCATACTTTTGGTAAATTAAGCACTCAAGTAGAAACAAACCACCTGGATCTGCCTCGTATGGCCATCATCTGGTCCTCGACGTCTTTCTCGCCATTGGCATCTCCAGACGGATTCGGCAAGAGCACACAATGTTAAACGGGAAAGGGCAGGTTAAGCTGTCAGGCAAGCATGACCCACAAACTTGCCCGACCTAACCAGTGATGGAAACGACAGCCATCTGCTCCACGAGTGTAACAATTTCTCCCACGTCTTCTACCCACCACGCCACTCAAGTGTCGTAGCGTGCATGGACTGAATCTGAAGTAGCGCACTTACCGTTGATGCATTATCAAGGCCAAAGCTCGACCATGCGTGTCACACAGTCTACAAATTTGCACTTGCTAGCCCCTCGAAGATGCATCCCGCACTCACGCTCGCATGAAAGACACCCATCCACACACATGGAAACGAAACAGGTTGACCCGCGCTATGGGCCATCAGCATCATATCTGTTGAGCCGCCCAATCTATGAAGAATTTCCGGACTGATCTATTGAAAGAAGAGATGACCAACGGTCAGCCAAAGAGAGGCCCGACCTTGCACATACTATTACCCCGACGCTGACATTTGTAATGCATTCATCAACAGCCCTCCCAGCATCGAATCGCGCGGTACTAAGTGGCCCTTGCACAAACGAAGAGGGGTCAGATTTGTCCAGAGGCCTTTCCCCTGGCGGCGTTTCTGGGACTAATAAATAAGGAGAAGCGGCAACATGGCACCTATTATCGCCAGATCGACCTGAACATGGTACGGGTGCCCGTCAGTTACCCGAATCCACACACCCACTCAATCGACCTACTTACGTCGAGGCCAACCACTAAGTCATCCACCCTTCCTGTGGTATTGAATGGTTGGTCACCTGGGCAGCATCAAGCCTGTCCCGCTCACAAGCGAACAAGGGAGGTTATCAAGTTATGCGCTCAATGCTGCCATCCGAAATACTCGCTCGGCACTTCTCACTCTGGAACTCATGAGTTGTGTCTTGAACTCTCTCTGTCTGGATAAACAGCCACATGGTACCGAAATCCTCCAATGACCTCTTGTTGTAGCCTCGCGGAGAAAGCGAAAACCTGCAACAAATGGCCACATTCGTTACTACATGATTGTCACAGTGACAGTTTGGAGGGCCACATGGCCCTTCCTATTGTTTTATCTCATGGATTTACTTTGTCACTTGCCATCGATTCACCGGGTTCTCCATCTGCTTTCGAGCCGCTTTCCCCATGGCTATAGGCTGCTTTCCAAGATGATGGCGGCTATGGGCTCTTCCCAAGGTTTACAAGTGCGTGTCTTATCTGTACTCACCATGAGTTCGACGTCCCTCACCCCGCTTCCGGTGTTGCATAATTGATCGTTGTGCTTCATTCACGTATCACTTCCATAGAATGGCCCCCCTCGCATGACTTGGAGCTGCCAATTTCCCGTCTACTAAGCAACAAAGTTAGGCGAGGGCGGTGTCGGGTAATTCAAGTAAACGCAGCCAATGATTTGATACATGTCATAGTATTAACCATATCGATCATTTGTAACGGTCATGGTCATTCCATGACTGCTCTCCACGTTTTACCAGCCCTTCTCCCTCTTGTACTTTGACTGTGAGTCTCCATCACTACAATTGATGGGCCGCTCCGCCGGCTACCTAGTCAACATTTTCTTCATCATCTATCACACAGTAACTTGCAGCCTCCGATTACATATACGTACAGCATGGATCATGTCTTAAAGGCGAACAGCCTTCAATTTGCTAAGCATACCAAACACATGAGACGCTCTTGGTCATGTGTTGAGCAACCGTGGCAAATATAGTACCCCTGTTCTCCGCGGTATCAAACGATGGGGTCCTTCCACTAGGGTGAGTAGAA